TACTAAAGCACTCCGTCCTCCTAAGATTTCCCATCGTCAAGAAACTGTGGTACTAAAGTGCCCATATCATAACTTACCAGAGGACCCAAAACAGAAAGTGGAGAGTAATGTCAATTTTGCGACCCACTAACATTTTCTTGTACGATAATTTTTGGCCTTAGGTAGAGTATACGTCAAAATGCGAGGCTCTTTAAGGAGGACGGGTTGACTACATGGTGTGTCGAGCATTGAAGTTATTTCCTCCGGCACAGGGCGCAGGCACGGGCCAAGACATTCACAGAAATAACAGGATGACCAGGTGTCCGAGACTGACACCTGCTGCTCTACCTCCCGCCCCTTGACACCTGCTGCTCTACCTCCCGCCCCTTGACACCTGCTGCTCTACCTCCCGCCCCTTGACACCTGCTGCTCTACCTGCCGCCCCTTGACACCTGCTGCTCTACCTCCCGCCCCTTGACACCTGCTGCTCTACCTCCCGCCCCTTGACACCTGCTGCTCTACCTCCCGCCCCTTGACACCTGCTGCTTTACCTCGCACCCCTTGACACCTGCTGCTCTACCTGCCGCCCCTTGACACCTGCTGCTCTACCTGCCGCCCCTTGACACCTGCTGCACTACCTCCCGCCCCTTGACACCTGCTGCTCTACCTGCCGCCCCTTGACACCTGCTGCTCTACCTCCCGCCCCTTGACACCTGCTGCTTTACCTCGCACCCCTTGACACCTGCTGCTCTACCTGCCGCCCTTGACACCTGCTGCTCTACCTGCCGCCCCTTGACACCTGCTGCTTTACCTCGCACCCCTTGACACCTGCTGCTCTACCTGCCGCCCCTTGACACCTGCTGCTCTACCTCCCGCCCCTTGACACCTGCTGCTCTACCTCCCGCCCCTTGACACCTGCTGCTCTACCTGCCGCCCCTTGACACCTGCTGCTCTACCTGCCGCCCCTTGACACCTGCTGCTCTACCTGCCGCCCCTTGACACCTGCTGCTCTACCTGCCGCCCCTTGACACCTGCTGCTTTACCTCGCACCCCTTGACACCTGCTGCTCTACCTCCCGCCCCTTGACACTTGCTGCTCTACCTGCCGCCCTTTGACACCTGCTGCTCTACCTCCCGCCCCTTGACACCTGCTGCTCTACCTGCCGCCCCTTGACACCTGCTGCTCTACCTGCCGCCCCTTGACACCTGCTGCTCTACCTGCCGCCCCTTGACACCTGCTGCTCTACCTGCCGCCCCTTGACACCTGCTGCTCTACCTACCGCCCCTTGACACCTGCTGCTCTACCTACCGCCCCTTGACACCTGCTGCTCTACCTGCCGCCCCTTGACACCTGCTGCTCTACCTACCGCCCCTTGACACCTGCTGCTCTACCTACCGCCCCTTGACACCTGCTGCTCTACCTACCGCCCCTTGACACCTGCTGCTCTACCTACCGCCCCTTGACACCTGCTGCTCTACCTGCCGCCCCTTGACACCTGGTGCTCTACCTGCCGCCCCTTGACACCTGCTGCTCTACCTACCGCCCCTTGACACCTGCTGCTCTACCTACCGCCCCTTGACACCTGGTGCTCTACCTGCCGCCCCTTGACACCTGCTGCTCTACCTGCCGCCCCTTGACACCTGCTGCTCTACCTACCGCCCCTTGACACCTGCTGCTCTACCTGCCGCCCCTTGACACCTGGTGCTCTACCTGCCGCCCTCGGGAGACAGAAGGCAGCCTAGCAAGTCCTGAGAGGCGCCGCCGTGGTGCCTGTGTTGCTGGTGTTGGTGGTGACGTGGGGGGCTGAGCGCCACGTCAGCACCAGAGGAGAGGAGCACAGCACAGGTAGTCAACTTCTCCTCCTACAAAGAACGTCGCATTTCGACGTATGCGTTTCATAAAGGCAAATATTGACGTACCAGAAAAATGGAAGCGGCTCGCGAAAGTGACATACTGTCCCGTTTTCTGTTTTGAATTCTCTGGTCGGTTAGGATAGGGGCACTTTAAACTGTCACTGGGTAAACCTTATGGGGACGGCCTGCGGTGATAAGGATACTATGGAGAGAGAGCAGTGGTGGTGAGTCAGCCGTGCTGCCCAACACCTCTGCTCTTCTTCCCCCCCCCCGTGACAGACCAACCACTTGGGCTGGACGGTAGAGCGACGGTCTGGCGTTATGCAGTTCGGCGTTCAGTCCCTGACCGTCCAAGTGGTTGGGCACCATTCCTTCCCACCGTACCCCCCCCAAATCCTTATTCTAACCCCTTCCCAGTGCCTATAGTCGTAATGGCTTGGCACTTTCCCCTGATAATTGCAATGCATTGCCCCGTGTGACAACTTACGGTGCACTAATAAGGCACTTATTATGCACCTCATACCTTTGTTTTGTTTGCCTTATTTCTGTCTTACCTGTTGTGGTACTTTGATAAGTTGTTGTATAAGGGCAGTGTTGCTTTATGGAACACTTTACTGGGTAACATAATACACACACAATCCCTGGAGTGTTTCGAGCGTAGGTGAGACATATATATTGGGTGAGTTTGGTGGGTATTTACCGCCGCAGCTCTCTATAGGCCTATTGGCCTTCTAGTTTCGTTTATTATAATGGTCATATATATATTTAGAAAAGAAAGGAGAGAAAATTTTTAATATAAGGAGAATGTTTTAATATATGAATAAGTAGGTATGATTATATTCGTGAGTGAGTGCAAGTGTGACTACGTTTGTGAGTGCAATAGTGCATGAGGACATGCATAAGTACATACATTAGTAATGCCTGAGTGCATGTGTGAGTACGTGAATAAGTGTATGCATGAGTCAATTGTGGAAAATATTCACTACGGTGATGAGTAATCAATAATCCTTAAATCTAAACTACTATAAACTAAATCTTTTACGAGAATTAAATTCTATGCTGCTAAATAAATAAACAAATAAAGAGGTGATAACAACATAACGAGGCTGTTAGGCCTACGGGCGGCGCCCTCACGACTTCATACCATAGCAGTCATATCAACCCCCAACATTACTTTAACAATAGTTTACAAAATATATCTTAAATGCCCCACAGGTGACTGACGAGCCTTAATTCAGATCACAAATATTTAAAATAAATTATACCCCAAAGTTTTGTCGGGGTATTTCAAAACGATTTTGATCTGTTATACAGTGACACATTCACCGTATGAACTCCAACATTAGTGTTACCTTGCGTGAGTATTGGTGTGAGTACGTTCATGAGTCACAACATGCAAGAGTGAGTGCATACATGAGTGACTACGGGTTTGTGTGAGTGCATGCAAGCGCTCAAAGATGAGCGAGTACAATCATGAGTTCATTCGTGAGTGAGTACATGGATGAGTACATGGATGAGTGGAACACTCACCTCCTCCTCCTGGGTCATGGCCAGCTCAGGCTCGTGCTCGTCCAGCTTGTTCAGCAGCTTGTCCTAGAACCAGGGAGACCAAGGTGGTGTTAGTCCGGGTCCTGTACACACTCACACACACACACACACACGCGCACACACAAACACACAAACACACGCACACACACGCACACACGCACACACACACACACACACACGCACAAACACCAAAGAAACTGGAAAAGGTACAAAGACATGCCATAAATAGGTTCCGGAAGTGAAAGGTTGGAGCTACGAGGAGAGGCTGTTAGTGTTAAATATGACAGAGTTTGAAGAATGCAGAAGGGAAGGGAACTATCAGGAGAAAGCACCAGACCATTACGACTATATAACACTGGGAAGGGGTCAGGATAAGGATTTGTTAAGGAATGGTGCCCAACCAATTGGACGGTCGGGGACTGAACGCCGACCTGCAGGAAGCGAGACCGTCGCTCTACCGTCCAGTCCAGGTGACAACATACAAAATAATACGAATCGACAAAACTGATACAGAGAAATTCTCAAAACCTTCCACTTCAAGACGAAAAGGGCATAGACTCAAACTAAGGCAGCAAAGGTGAAACATGTATTTTTTTGTGTGTGTTATTGAACAAAGAGTGCTGGGAAGACGGGACACCACGAGTGTAGCGCTCATCCTGTAACTACACTTAGGTAATTACACACACACAACCTATGAAGCCCTTTGTACCGTGGTGTATAACCACTAAACACAGCTGTTTTGATCCTATGTAAATAAACCCCTATTGTGAGAGTGCGTGCTCCATTGTGCCGCAGGATAGTTGAGTGTGGCCAACGGATAGTAGACAGACTAAGATTGTGTCATCTGGGGATATAAACCTGGTATTATTCTGGGCCGCAGGGCTAAGATTCCCTCACTTAATCCCGCAGACAAAAGTGAGTTTCACACCAGGTAGACGTACACTGTTTACATCATGATAGATACTTTACATTGATGTATTGTTCACACCACGATAGATATTGTTTACTTAATGATAGAGTGTTTAGCCATTGTAAACTCAACTAATGAGGTGGTAGAGGTACTTAGAATCAAGGTAAAATAAAAAATTATTATTATTCTCATATACAAACCGAATTCACAGGAATTTGAGGAATTCAAAGAGCAGGAATTGGAGAAATTCACAGAGCAGATGCACCAAAATGAGAATATCCTTGATAATCCCGCAAACCCAGTACCAGATATTATTTTTCTTTGAGACTTCAATCTAACCAGTTTAAGATGGGGAATGGCTAACAATAACATTATAGCAGGAAATCAACCTGGAAATAACCAACCACAGGTCAGAGAACAACTGAGATTCTGTGTCAAACTCTCCCTCAACCAATTGATTACAAAACCAACTAGGAACGAAAACACAACCTGATCTTCACAGACAATGAAGAAATAGTCAGAGATATTACACTCTCAGATACTACATACTCAGACCATCCAGGTCGATCTCTGTCTTCCACTGTCCCGACTTCACTGCCTTCCCTGGCCTGCCTTTCGTCTCTCGTCACCTTTCAGCCTGGCAGACTAAGAGATGGGGAGCTATGATCACTGGGAGGGTCGACTTGTATAGTTCGGCACCCAGATCGTAGATGGCGCCGAAGTCCGTCACAGTGATGGTCAATCATGTAAGATCAAGCCCAAGTGCAGTGAAAGGCTCTGTACCCCAGGGCACGGTCCTGGCACCACTAATCTTTCTCATTCTTATCTCGGATGTAGATAAAAATACTAGTCACTGCTTCGTGTCTTGCTTTGCAGATGAAAAAAAAAAAAATTTCTAGGGAGGCAATGAAAATTGCCTTTCTAAAAGACACGGAAAAACTACAAGCTGATATTAATTGTCTTCGATTAGGTAACAAAAATAACATGATTTTACCGACAATCATTTCCAGGTAGTGAGGTATGGTGCAAGCGAGGAACTTAAACGAAACACAGGGTACAGGACACAGGGTACAGGACACAGGGTACAGGACACAGGGTACAGGACACAGGGTACAGGACACAGGGTACAGGACACAGGGTACAGGACAATCACACCTACTCATTGAAGGAAAGCAACTTGTAACAGATCTGGGAATTATGATGTCTGACGACCTGACATTTAGTGAACATAACAGAGTAAATATAGCGGCGACTAGGAAAATGATAGGATGGATAATGAGAACGTTCAAATCCAGAGACAATACAGCAATGAGCTGTGAGAGTACTTACCAATCAGGGAAGAGTCATCAAGTTTCTGTGGATCCCCTCCCATGTTGGAATATGTGGGAATGAACGAGCAGATGTGCTGGCTGCTGAAGGAGACCATATTGAATACTTCATACCCAAGACTCTACTACAAATTAGAGGTATTATCAGGCAACATCACCGTGACAAGGTAACTGAGGAAAGGAGGATAGAAGCACAAACCAGTGAATCTGTACGATGTTTCAACATGGGTGCAGCTGGCAATCCCAATCATTATGGCCGAAGAGGAGGACGACGAGGGAGAGAATCAGTAATAGCGAGAATCCGTCTTGGATACAAATATCCATGGAGATTTGGAATGGAAACAACAGTTGGCCAGCGAAGTTACAGAATCTGTGGTGAGAGTGATGGACACCGCCTTGACCACTATCTACGTGAATGTGAACACCTGAGAGACATTAGGAATACGTGTAGAATAATAAACCCTACATTGTTTGAGTTAGGAAAACACTATTTGTCAAATATTGATACTGTTCTTAAAAGATTTCCCCATTTTGCACCCACAAGATAACGTAAGCTTTTATGGGTTGACAGATGTTAATCTTCTTGTTTGAGGAGCTGTTCACTTGAGCCAGTTAAGTAAGTCCCAGCTGTGTCTGGGTATAAGTGACAGGATGAACAACCCAGCGGATTTTCTTCCTATTGGGGAGTGTTGTACATGCTGCTATAGCGGTGTGTCCACTCACAAGATGAGTGGCGCTGCCCAATAAACTCGCCCCTCGGGGCAAAATTTAAAAAAAAAATAAAATACAGCAATGCTAATACTATTTAAATCACTGTTGCTGCCCCTTTTTGAGTACTGCTCGGTACTCACCCTTGCAGAGCAGGAGAGAACTCTGAAATAGAGGGCATGCAGAAAACCTATACAGCACGCATACAAACGAAATTATTGGGAAAAACATCTAAATTATTGGGATCGTCTCAAAGCTCTCAAGATGTACTCGCTGGAAAGGAGACGAGAGAGATATCAAATAATATCAACATAGAAGATACTGGAAGGTCAGGTCCCAAATTTGCACAGTCTAATAACAACATACTGGATCGAGAGACAGGGAAGGAAATGCAGAATAGAACCACTGAAGAGTACAGGTGCCATAGGCACAATTAGAGAACACTGAACATCAGAGGTCCACAGCTGTTCAACACCCCCTCCCAGCAAGCATTAGAAATATTGCTGGAACAAAGGTGGATGTATCCAAGAGGCACTTAGATAAGTTCTTGCAAGACGAGCCGGACCAATCAGACTGTAGTGGATATGTGGGCCTACGGGCCGCTCCAAGCAACAGCCTGGTGGACCAAGTAATCACGAGTCATGCCTGACCTCTGGCCGGGTTCATGGAGTAGAACTCCCGAAACTCTCTCCAGGCATAGACAAGCAGAGTTTACAATATGATAGATAGGCAAAGTTTACTCCATGATAGACAGTGTTTACACCATAATTGACACTGTTCATACCATGAAAGACACTGTTTACGCAATGATACACTGTCTACATCATGATAAACACTGTTTACTCCATGATAGACAGTGTTTACACCATGATAGACAGTTACACCATGATAGACACTGTTTACACCAAAATAGACAGTGTTTACACCATGATAGACAGTTACACCATGATAGGCACTGTTTACTCCATGATAGACAGTGTTTACAAAAAGTAAACCTCATATAAAACATGTCACAAGCACACTATGTTTTCACTCACCCAACTTGTTTTCCTCGCCAAAAATATTTTAGCCAGCCAGGATTCTGGACGTAGTTTTAATTTTATTTGTAAAAGAGTTACAAAGACATTAGAGTTGCAAGAAAAGTTTTGTTTGTTGAGGTGCGTTCAGAAGTCTTAAGAGTCATCGTAGTGATAGTAATATATCCTTTAGTTACCTGAAGGAAACATCACCAGGCTGATTGATGGTTTTGATGACTCTCCCGCCGTTGATGGCCCTCCCGCCGTTGATGACCCTCCCGCCGTTGATGGTCCTCCCACCGTTGATGACCCTCCCGCCGTTGATGGCCATCCCACTGTTGATGACCCTCCCGCCGTTGATGGTCCTCCCGCCGTTGATGACCCTCCCGCCGTTGATGGCCATCCCACTGTTGATGACCCTCCCGCCGTTGATGGCCCTTCCACCGTTCATGACCCTTCCGCCGTTGATGGCCCTTCCACCGTTCATGACCCTTCCGCCGTTGATGGCCCTCCCGCCGTTGATGACCCTCCCACCGTTGATGACCCTCCCGCCGTTGATGGCCATCCCACTGTTGATGACCCTCCCGCCGTTGATGGCCCTTCCACCGTTCATGACCCTTCCGCCGTTGATGGCCCTCCCGCCGTTGATGACCCTCCCGCCGTTGATGACCCTCCCGCCGTTGATGACCCTCCCGCCGGTGATGACCCTCCCACCGTTGATGGCCCTCCCGCCGTTGATGGTCCTCCCTCCGTTGATGACCCTCCCGCCGTTGATGACCCTCCCGCCGTTGATGACCCTCCCGCCGTTGATGACCCTCCCGCCGTTGATGGTCCTCCCGCCGTTGATGGTCCTCCCGCCGTTGATGACCCTCCCGCCGTTGATGACCCTCCCGCCGTTGATGACCCTCCCGCCGTTGATGGCCCTCCCACCGTTGATGACCCTCCCGCCGTTGATGGCCCTCCCGCCGTTGATGACCCTCCCGCCGTTGATGACCCTCCCGCCGTTGATGACCCTCCCGCCGGTGATGACCCTCCCACCGTTGATGGCCCTCCCGCCGTTGATGGTCCTCCCTCCGTTGATGACCCTCCCGCCGTTGATGACCCTCCCGCCGTTGATGACCCTCCCGCCGTTGATGACCCTCCCGCCGTTGATGACCCTCCCGCCGTTGATGACCCTCCCGCCGTTGATGACCCTCCCGCCGTTGATGACCCTCCCGCCGTTGATGACCCTCCCGCCGTTGATGACCCTCCCGCCGTTGATGACCCTCCCGCCGTTGATGGCCCTCCCGCCGTTGATGGCCCTCCCGCCGTTGATGACCCTCCCGCCGTTGATGACCCTCCCGCCGTTGATGGCCCTCCCGCCGTTGATGGCCCTCCCGCCGTTGATGGCCCTCCCGCCGTTGATGACCCTCCCGCCGTTGATGACCCTCCCGCCGTTGATGGCCCTCCCGCCGTTGATGGCCCTCCCGCCGTTGATGGCCCTCCCGCCGTTGATGACCCTCCCGCCGTTGATGACCCTCCCACCGTTGATGGCCCTCCCGCCGTTGATGGCCCTCCCGCCGTTGATGACCCTTCCGCCGTTGATGACCCACCGTTGATGGCCCTCCCGCCGTTGATGGCCCTCCCACCGTTGATGGTCCTCCCGCCGTTGATGGCCCTCCCGCCGTTGATGACCCTTCCGCCGTTGATGACCCACCGTTGATGGCCCTCCCGCCGTTGATGGCCCTCCCACCGTTGATGACCCTCCCACCGTTGATGACCTTCCGCTACCCACAGGAATAATGGGTGGCAGGAAATAGTGGGTGGCAGGAATTGAGGAGAGTGTGGTGTTGGCAGTGTTGGCGTGGTACAGGGGCCGTTGCTACACCTTCCCGCCGTTACCAGTGATGGGTCTGTGTTACTCCTGAAGGCTGCCACACCGTCTGCCATCTGTGAGTCACAGTGTCTGTGTTGTACGAGTAGTCGCACATATAACATGGGCGGTGGGTCGGGTTGCAAGACCACGTACGGGGCTCAGGTAGTGCTTGCAACATCCGGTGCTGAACCTCACACGAGTGTTAATTCATCTAACACAACCAAGAAGTTCATCGAGCAGATCGTCGAGGACGCCGATGATTGGGTACCCGGCGAGCGGTGTTGGACGCCTCGGGGTTTTGGCCACATTGCTATGCCTTGTCTACCAGCCCAGCAGCCTCTGAGAAGAAGGCGTCTCGCTGTGTGGTGGTCCAAGGTGGTGTGGAGGACCATACACCCAGACCACCGTGAGTCCTCCTCCCACACACACACTCACCATAACTAGTTAGGTGGCCCGGTACATATTATATATATTTTATTAATACAAGAAGAACAGGCAACAGGTGTTTTCAACTGCATTTCTTCCCACTGACAACCATTTCCACAGGGAATGGTTCGCGGCAGCACGGGGTGGTGGGCAGCAGGGGTAGTGGGCAGCAGGGGGTGGTGGGCAGCATGGGGTGGTGGGCAGCAGGGGGTGGTGGGCAGCAGGGGGTGGTGGGCAGCAGGGGGTGGTGGGCAGCAGGGGTAGTGGGCAGCAGGGGTGTGGTGGGCAGCAGGGGGTGGTGGGCAGCACGGGGTGGTGGGCAGCAGGGGTAGTGGGCAGCAGGGGGTGGTGGGCAGCATGGGGGGTGGTGGGCAGCAGGGGGTGGTGGGCAGCAGGGGGTGGTGGGCAGCAGGGGGTGGTGGGCAGCAGGGGGTGGTGGGCAGCAGGGGGTGGTGGGCAGCAGGGGGTGGTGGGCAGCAGGAGGTGGTGGGCAGCAGGGGGTAGTGTGGCAGCAGGGGGTGGTGGGCAGCAGGGGGTGGTGGGCAGCAGGGGGTGGTGGGCAGCAGGGGGTGGTGGGCAGCAGGGGGTAGTGGGCAGCAGGGGTGGTGGGCAGCAGGGGGTGGTGGGCAGCAGGGGGTGGTGGGCAGCAGGGGGTGGTGGGCAGCAGGGGGTAGTGGATAGCAGGGGGTGGTGGGCAGCAGGGGTGGTGGGCAGAATGGGGTAGTGGGCAGCAGGGGGTGGTGGGCAGCAGGGGGTAGTGGGCAGCAGGGGGTGGTGGGCAGCAGGGGGTGGTGGGCAGCAGGGGGTGGTGGGCAGCAGGGGGTGGAGGGCAGCAGGAGATGGTGGGCAGCAGGGGGTAGTGGGCAGCAGGGGGTGGCGGGAAGCAGGGGGTGGTGGGCAGCAGGGGGTGGTGGGCAGCAGGGGGTGGTGGGCAGCAGGGGGTAGTGGGCAGCAGGGGGTAGTGGGCAGCAGGGGGTGGTGGGCAGCAGGGGGTAGTGGGCAGCAGGGGGTGGTGGGCAGCAGGGGGTGGTGGGCAGCAGGGGGTGGTGGGCAGCAGGGGGTGGAGGGCAGCAGGAGATGGTGGGCAGCAGGGGGTAGTGGGCAGCAGGGGGTGGCGGGAAGCAGGGGGTGGTGGGGCAGCAGGGGGTGGTGGGCAGCAGGGGGTGGTGGGCAGCAGGGGTAGTGGGCAGCAGGGGGTAGTGGGCAGCAGGGGGTGGTGGGCAGAATGGGGTAGTGAGCAGCAGGGGGTGGTGGGCAGCAGGGGGTGGTGGGCAGCAGGGGGTGGTGGGCAGCAGGGGGTGGTGGGCAGCAGGGGGTGGTGGGCAGCAGGGGGTGGTGGGCAGCAAGGGGTGGTGGGCAGCAGGGGGTGGTGGGCAGCAGGGGGTGGTGGGCAGCAGGGGGTGGTGGGCAGCAGGGGGTGGTGGGCAGCAGGGGGTAGTGGATAGCAGGGGGTGGTGGGCAGCAGGGGGTGGTGGGCAGCAGGGGGTGGTGGGCAGCAGGGGGTGGTGGGCAGCAGGGGGTAGTGGTGCAGGGGGTGGTGGGCAGCAGGGGGTAGTGGGCAGCAGGGGGGGTAGGGGCAGCAGGGGGTGGTGGGCAGCAGGGGGTAGTGGGCAGCAGGGGGTGGTGGGCAGCAGGGGGTGGTGGGCAGCAGGGGGTGGTGGGCAGCAGGGGGTGGTGGGCAGCAGGGGATGGTGGGCAGCAGGGGGGTAGTGGGCAGCAGGGGGTGGTGGGCAGCAGGGGGTGGTGGGCAGCAGGGGGTGGGGGCAGGTGGGCAGCAGGGGGAGGTGGGCAGCAGGGGGAGGTGGGCAGCAGGGGGAGGTGGGCAGCAGGGGGTGGTGGGCAGCAGGGGGTGGTGGGCAGCAGGGGGTGGTGGGCAGCAGGGGGTGGTGGGCAGCAGGGGGTGGTGGGCAGCAGGGGGTGGTGGGCAGCAGGGGGTGGTGGGCAGCAGGGGGTGGTGGGGGCAGCAGGGGGTGGTGGGCAGCAGGGGGAGGTGGGCAGCAGGGGGTGGTGGGCAGCAGGGGGTGGTGGGCAGCAGGGGGTGGTGGGCAGCAGGGGGTGGTGGGCAGCAGGGGGTGGTGGGCAGCATGGGTTAGTGGGCAGCAGGGGGTGGTGGGCAGCAGGGGGGTGGTGGGCAGCAAGAGGTGGTGGGCAGCAGGGGGTGGTGGGCAGCAGGAGTAGTGGGCAGCAGGGGGTGGTGGGCAGCAGGGGGTGGTGGGCAGCAGGGGGTGGTGGGCAGCAGGGGGTGGTGGGCAGCAGGGGGTGGTGGGCAGCAGGGGGTGGTGGGCAGCAGGGGATGGTGGGCAGCAGGGGGTGGTGGGCAGCAGGGGGGGTGGTGGGCAGCAGGAGGTGGTGGGCAGCAGGGGGTGGTGGGCAGCAGGGGGTGGTGGGCAGCAGGGGGTGGTGGGCAGCAGGGGGTGTTGGGCAGCAGGGGGTGGTGGGCAGCAGGAGGTAGGTGGTGGGCAGCAGGGGGTGGTGGGCAGCAGGGGGTGGTGGGCAGCAGGGGGTGGTGGGCAGCAGGGGGTGGTGGGCAGCAGGGGGTGGTGGGCAGCAGGGGGTGGTGGGCAGCAGGGGGGGGTGGTGGGCAGCAGGGGGAGGTGGGCAGCAGGGGGAGGTGGGCAGCAGGGGGTGGTGGGCAGCAGGGGGTGGTGGGCAGCAGGGGGTGGTAGGCAGCAGGGGGTGGTGGGCAGCAGGGGGTGGTGGGCAGCAGGGGTTGGTGGGCAGCAGGGGGTGGAGGGCAGCAGGGGGGTGGTGGGCAGCAGGGGGTGGTGGGCAGCAGGGGGGAGTGGTGGGCAGAATGGGGTGGTGGGCAGCAGGGGGTGGTGGGCAGCAGGGGGTGGTAGGCAGCAGGGGGTGGTGGGCAGCAGGGGGTGGTGGGCAGCAGGGGTTGGTGGGCAGCAGGGGGTGGTGGGCAGCAGGGGGAAGCAGGGGGTGGTTCAGCAGGGGGGTGGTGGGCAGCAGGGGGTAGTGGGCAGCAGGGGGTGGTGGGCAGCAGGGGGTGGTGGGCAGCAGGGGGTGGTGGGCAGCAGGGGGTGGTGGGCAGCAGGGGGTGGTGGGCAGCAGGGGGGTGGTGGGCAGCAGGGGGTGGTGGGCAGCAGGGGGTGGTGGGCAGCAGGGGGTGGTGGGGGCAGCAGGGGGTAGTGGGCAGCAGGGGGTGGTGGGCAGCAGGGGGTGGTGGGCAGCAGGGGGGTGGTGGGCAGCAGGGGGTGGTGGGCAGCAGGGGGTGGTGGGCAGCAGGGGGTGGTGGGCAGCAGGGGGTGGTGGGCAGCAGGGGGTGGTGGGCAGCAGGGGGTAGTGGATAGCAGGGGGTGGTGGGCAGAAGGGGGTGGTGGGCAGAATGGGGTAGTGGGCAGCAGGGGGTGGTGGGCAGCAGGGGGTGGTGGGCAGCAGGGGGTAGTGGGCAGCAGGGGGTGGTGGGCAGCAGGGGGTGGTGGGCAGCAGGGGGGTGGTGGGCAGCAGGGGGTGGTGGGCAGCAGGGGATGGTGGGCAGCAGGGGGTGGTGGGCAGCAGGGGGTGGTGGGCAGCAGGGGGTGGTGGGCAGCAGGGGGTGGTGGGCAGCTGGGGGTGGTGGGCAGCAGGGGGGGGTGGGCAGCAGGGGGGGCATGGGCAGCAGGGGGTGGTAGGCAGCAGGGGGGGGGTGGTGGGCAGCAGGGGGTGGTGGGCAGCATGGGTGGTGGGCAGCAGGGGGTGGTGGGCAGCAGGGGGAGGTGGGCAGCAGGGGGTAGTGGGCAGCAGGGGGTGGTGGGCAGCAAGGGGTGGTGGGCAGCAGGGGGTGGTGGGCAGCAGGAGGGGGTGTGGGGCAGCAGGAGGTGGTGGGCAGCAGGGGGGTGGTGAGCAGCAGGGGGGTGGGGGCAGCAGGGGGGTGGTGGCAGCAGGTGGTGGTGGGCAGCATGGGTTGGTGGGCAGCAGGGGGTGGTTGGCAGCATGGGTACGTAGGGGCAGCAGGGGGTGGTGGGCAGCATGGGTTAGTGGGCAGCAGGAGGTGGTGGGCAGCAAGGGGGTGGTGGGCAGCAGGGGGGTGGTGGGCAGCAGGGGGGTGGGGGCAGCAGGGGGGTGGGTGCAGCAGGGGGTGGTGGGCAGCAGGGGGTGGGGGCAGCAGGGGGGGGGGTGGGCAGCAGGGGGGGTGGTGGGCAGCAGGGGGTGGTGAGCAGCAGGGGGTGGTGGGCAGCAGGGGTGTGGTGGGCAGCAAGGGGTGGTGGGCAGCAGGGGGTGGTGAGCAGCAGGGGGTGGTGGGCAGCAGGGGTGGTGGGCAGCAGGGGGTGGTGGGCAGCAGGGGGGTGGTGGGCAGCAAGGGGTGGTGGGCAGCAGGGGGTGGTGGGCAGCAGGTGGTGGTGGGGCAGCATGGGTTAGTGGGCAGCAGGGGGTGGTGGGCAGCAGCGCAGGGGAGTGGGCAGCAGGGGAGTGGGCAGCAGGGGGGGTGGGGC